AGCGTTCACCCAGAGCACCGCCGAAACACTAAGAACAAAAGGCAATTTGAACCCAAGCTACGCAGCCAGAGAAAGCACTTCCAGCCTGAGAGGTAGAGACATGCGCCAGCAAACATTTGAACCCAAGCTACGCAGCCAGAGGAAGCACTTCCAGCCTGAGAGGTAGAGACATGCAGCAGCAAGCACCAGTTCGAGCTCACATGGTCTGTTTTCTCTCGCAAGACAGCATCCATTCGGTTCCGTGAACATGGCAGAGCAGTGCATGACTCGCAAGAGAGCCCTGTCCTGCTGTGCAGGATGCGCGTGACAAACAGCAATCACTGCTGCGTGCAGAGGCTAGGCACAATGCAGCTTTCGCAAGACAGCGTCGGCTGCGTCAATGGGTCCAGGCACCCCCCCCCCCTCCCAAGCCCACTGCTGAGGTTTCTTCGCGCAGAAACTAGATACTTTTCACAGGCGCAATGCAGCTTTCGCAAGACAGCGTCGACTGCTCCGCCAGGAATTAGTCACGAGTCCATGGCAAATGACCCCACTTCCGGAGCACGCGCTTGGCGCGTTGCCGTGCAAGATCTTCCACCTCAACCTTTCGCGTTCGCTTGGATTCTGCACATAAAGAAAGCCCCTGCTCACGAGACAACGTACAGTTCCATTCGAAAGAATGTTGGCAAGGACCATCTCGTCCTCCGGCGTGTGGGTAGCCTTCCAAGAACAGCAGTACCAATGATCCGCGGAGTCCTTGCTCAGACCCAGGGTTCTCTGAACGCGAACAGCATCGTTGAAAGCTTCCCACTCCACGGCATCCAAGTTCAGCCGTCGCCGAAGCTCTGGATTATTCACGTGCTGAAGACCAGTCCGCACCCGACAGATAATCTCCGAGTCCGAGGCAGGCCGGAGCATCTCATTTATGTCCCAGTCCGTCCAGCCGCTGTCTTGCCGGTAGCTCTTAAGAATGCTTGGGTGCAGTTTATCCACTCTCGGATATTGAGGTCTCCGAGAGCGCATCATTCGAAGAGTCCGACGTCTTCGATGCGGGGGACAGCATGCAGGCACGAGCATGGCAACGCCTGCACCTGTCCAGAGTCCAGGACACTCCTCGAGCCCCACACAACAGCCGATCGAATGCCAAGCATACCCTGCACCCGGAGCTGCAAAGCACGGCTTCATCACGACGGCCTGCAGCTACGTCGATTAGGTTTTGTCGCATGCCACATGTCTCGACCTGCCACACGACTCTGATCCGATCTATCGTCGGGCATGAAACAGAACTCCACTGGCGGAATGCAGCTTTCGCAAGACAGCGTCGACCGCTCCCGCCGTGCCTTGATGTCCGGCAACCGCCGAATTAAGCGAATTAGAAGTTCGCAAGGACACAGAAGTCAGCAGGTCTCTTCTCGACCCACTGGCGGAATGCAGCTTTCGCAAGACAGCGTCGACCGCTCCCGCCGCACTGGTTCCGAAGTAGGAATTCCTCCCTACAACACCGTGCCTAACGTGCCCGGCCACTCACAACGGGTAGTCCTGGACAAGTGGAAGGATCAGCTCGCGGACTGTTGTTCCTCAGCCGATGGGTCGGGCAATTCGATAATCTCGCGATGCGGCACCGTGACATGGAGGGCCTCCAAGAGCCGTGTCACAGCTGCAAACACCTCCAGCAGACGCCCTTGATGTCCCTTCAATGCCGCAGGCGGCGCAGGATCATCGTCATTAGGACAAAAGCACATGCGCAAGAGAGTCAATTGCGTGAAGACCCAACCTCGATCGGCCGGTGTGCTCTCCATCACTCTCTGCAATTCTTCCGAGTCCATCGCTCTCTGCAATTCTTCCAAGTTTGTCACACGCTGCAGCAGAAGATCACCTGCTTCAGGTGCGACCGCAGCAATGGCGAGATTACACATTTGCAATGCCGGGAGATCCGGCAGGTCGCGAAGCGCCAGTGACAAAACAGTCCACCGAGTGCTTACATCCGGATTGCACGTCCGCTGCAACGGCACCGTGATATCGAGGGCCTCCAAGAGTCGTGTCACAGCTGCAAACGCCTCCAGCAGAAGCCTTTGACGTCCCTTCAATGCTCCAGGCGGCGCAGGATCATCGTCATTAGGACGAAAGGACATGCGCAGGATGCACAATCGCGCGAAGACCCACCCTCGATCGGCAGGTGTGCTCTCCACCACTCTCTCCAATTCTTCCGGGTCTGGCACCCGCTTCAGCAGAAGATCGCCTGCTTCAGGTGCGACCGCGGCAATCGCGAGATAACATATTTGCAATGCCGGGAGATCCGGCAGGTCGCGCAGCGCCAGCGACAAGGCATTGTAACGAGTGCACACATCCGGATTGCACGTCCTCGGCAACGTTGCCATGGCCAGGAGGACTGAAAGTCAACTCGAGAGATGGCGCTGCGGAATGTTGACACCATCGGATGGCACACTTTGCTTTTAGGAAGACACTGCAAGCGAAAGTCGCAAGATGCTTACCACTCTGCACCCGGAGCTGCAAAGCACGGCTTCATCACGAGGGCCTGCAGCCACGTCGATTAGGTTTTGTCGCATGCCTCATGTCTCGACCTGCCACACGACTGTGATCCGATCTATCGTCGGACATGAAACAGAACTCCACTGGCGGAATGCAGCTTTCGCAAGACAGCGTCGACCGCTCCCGCCGTGCCTTGATGTCCGGCAACCGCCGAATTAAGCGAATGACGAGTTCCCCAAGGACACAGAAGCCAGCAGGTCTCTTCTCGACCCACTGGCGGAGTGCAGCTTTCGCAAGACAGCGTCGACCGCTCCCGGCGTGCCTTGAATGACGATCGAACCAGCCTCACACGCCGGGCCACCGGCCCCCCAGCAAAGTGATCTTCAGCTGGAAGACGAAGACCCTGCGCCTGCATCCGCCGCGGCTGCGCCACGAATCCTTGCCAAGAGGCGGCGACACTGTCTACACTCGGCAGTCCTCCACTGAGTCCGCCTAGGCCCTAGGCAGTGGGTTACCGCAGTGCAGGCACATAGCCCGAAGGCTGCCGGGGTCGTGTTCAGGGTTGCCGGCGTGGAAAAGCCAGAAGATAAGGGCGCGGCGGTGACGAACCATGGGGTCCGCAAAAGCCTCCAAGGCAGTGGGCACCGCTCCCGTTCCAGGGGACGGGTCCCGCCACCTCCGCTCACCTTGCTGCCACTGCCTCCATGCAGCCAAAACTGAGGCCAAGGAAGCTCCCGGCAGGTCATGCAGACTGTTGATTTCTGCCATGTAAAGAACCCTTGCCATGGTGACACTGAGCATATCTGGCACAGTGAGGGGCGAGCTGTGCCGAGCAAGCTCCTCCTCATCGAACATAGCATCACACTCGTAGAACCTGATGCGAGCGTCATCGGGATGCCACCCGTCGGGCACCACAGTGGCCCTGACAGCCCATGGCCCCAGCCAAGGAAACTGGAAGCCTCCTCTGGCCTGTTCACACCTTGGGCAAGGAGACGCGACGCACGCGATCCGGCGGAGAGGCACGAACCGGCCCTCGATCCTGAGACTAGGCACGACGTCCAGGGGAGGAGGGTAGTGCACCACCTCACAGACCTGCTTCCAGACATGCCAGAATGCCTCAGCATCGTTGTTCCTAGTGAACTCGCCCATGTACCTGACAAAAGCCGACATGTTCTCGGCATGCAACACCCGAGATTCGGTATAAGTGATGCGACCGACACGGGTGGCAACATCCATCCCTAGGAGTCACTCTCCGGGAAACAAAGTACCAGCTTGCCAGGTTCGGCTCTAGCTGCTAGCTGAAGCTCGAGCCAAAATGCACAGACGGGCAGATCGTCCACACGTCTCATCTCAGCCGAACACCCTCTCGCTCGGAGAGGCCTTTTCGACTCCTTGTTGCATCAAGTCGGACCGAACTGCGATGAGCTCGCCATGCGTGCATCCGATCCGTCTTTCCAAGCGGCCGCGCCGCCGCCGCTAAGTCCATGCTTCGGGGTGTCTTACAGCTGTCACCGGCACGCCAAGCTTTCGCAAGACAGCGTCCACTTGCCTGTGCACCGTATAGCAGAACCACAGAACTCAAGCACGAGCCAGTTAGCGCGAAGAAAAAGCATTCGAAGAAGGGCAACAGAATTCAACGCTGCCTAACAACAGCTAGCCCTCAGAGTGGACATCGTGAACCTGATGGTGCAACATCGAGTGGAGCTGAAAAGCAGAACGTTCAGCACAGGAGGCACCGAACGGCGTTTTTTTTTCGAGCAGAAGCACGGCCAGCCAGCCTCGTGAGGGACTGCTGCTGCGACGATGATGATGGCGGCCGCGGCGTTCAAGATGTCGCGACAACAGCGGGGCAGACTCGCAACTGCGTTCTATTGGGCAGGGTGAGAGTATCGAGGAAGAGTGGACAACTTGTCGCGAACATCTTGGATGAAATTCGTGACTGCATTCTCTAGAATTTTGATGCTCCTAGACTGTTGGGCCACGGACTCGCGAATTTCGCTCAGTTCTTGTTCCTGCTCTCGAACTTGTCGTTGTAAGCCATCCAATAGTTGTTGCTGAATCTGTCGAACAGAGGCTTCTTCGACTCGCTGTTGCATCAAGTCCGAACGAACGGCGATGAGCTCGACCTGCGTGTATCTGATCCATCTTTCCAGTGTTGCGAGCGGCTGAACCCCCGAGTCCATCCTTCGGGATATCCGTCAGTCCTGACGGACACGCAGGCACACCGAATTTCGCAAGACAGCGTCCACACGGCAGCACTGCGGAGACTAGCAGGACCACAGAAATCGAGCCCAAGCTAAGCAGCGCGCTCCAAGGACAGTAGCTAAATTGAACACGAGCCAAATGCAGCGTCGCCTCCGAACGGACATCGTGAACCCTAGCCTTGCAACCGCATGTGGAAGCTGTGAACGGCAACGCACAGCACGAGGGACACCGAACAGCTTTTTGGGCAGAAACACAGCCAGGCCCGCGAGGGATTACTGCTGCGCCGCACTTTCGCAAGACAGCATCCATGCGGTTGCAAGGCTATTCTAAGTCTGCACAGCAGCTACAACAGCAGCTTCATCCTTCGCCACCAACTGTTGCGCTTTCAGGAAGCGCACGTACGCTGTCAAATAGCGCATGTGCACGAACGTCATCGACACGGCTTGCACCGTGGCAGCCTTCATTTCTGACTCCGACATACTAAAACCTCGCCAGTTCCAGGAAACGCTCCAATGCAACCCTCTCTTGCCATAAGACAATGTATCGAAAGGACCTGCTCGGGGCGTCAGCCAAGCAAGAAGGCCATGAACCACGTTGTGCAGCTCGTCCGCCACAAACCCATAGCTTTCCTCGTCTGTCACGTCGAAGCATTCCTCAGGGATGCATGGAGCCAGGCTCACGACCAGGCGGTGCGCTGCAAACTTCATGGTGCCCTCCCAAGTTGCCTCACAGGCTTTTGGCAACTCCGGCAACATCGTAGCCTCGACTCCATCAGGTCGCCACCCCTCCAGTCGGCAACGCTTCAACGGCAAGAGGACGTGCAGGTTCTGGAGCAAGACCTCGCGTCAAACAGGCCAACGCAAACGAATTGATCTGCAGGACAACAAATAAAGCGGTCTACACCCGATTCTCTAACACTTTGATAACCAGCACAGCGACGGTCAAGGGCTTGTGCTGAAAAGAAGGCAGGTTTCTCCGCCTCTTGCCGCAGAGCTGCTGGCCACAAGCATTCCCAGCGGCTTCGTGCTCTTCTCGCGTGACTGCATCGGCTCTGGCCGTCTTGCGCGTGTAGGCGCGCACGTCTGAGCTGTAGGCAGGTTTGTTTAAAAAGCCCCTCTGCCCAGGCCGAATTTCTATGTACTTCATGGCTTCGTCGAGCATCTCCAATGACATCTGGGGCGACGGAGCATACAACTGGGTCTTGGCGACCAGAAACTCGTGCCACTTGCACACAGTCGGAGCCCAAGTATCCCGGCGCATGTACTTCCAACAGATATCCGCAGCAGGTTCGCCCAGATGCATGCATCGAGCAACTGACTGCCTCCCCACATTTTCGCAAGACGGCGTCGGCGCGGTTCGGCAAACAAGCCAAATCCGCGGAGTCGCAGAGTCTTGGTCTTCGCCATCAACAAGCATATCAGACACGTCCTGACAGGGTTGGACAGCGAGAACATATGCTACCACGTACTGTTCCAAAAGAGCGTTCCAGTGGACGTTCTTCACGGCGCACAAAAGCCTTCTGCTGGCGCCGCCTTCGCCTTGCTCCATTTCAAACAAGACCAGTGCACTGGAAAGAAGCCGCACCTCGCACACAGTGGACGCCCACCGATTCACTTGTCGCAGTTCACGCTCCTCGCCGACCAAAGAACTCGACTCGGCTCCAGAAAGCATTGCTGGCGGGGGACTGGCAACGAACGAGAGCCCGATGCTGTGCAGGGACAAGAAGGAAAATGCAAGTAGCCCTTACACAAGCCGAACGAGAGCCCGATGCTGCAGGGACAAGAAGGAAAATGCAAGTAGTCCTTACACAAGCAGCACAGCCGCCACCGATGGCCTCTTCTCTGTGCTCCATCCGCCGCCTTTGCGAAACACAACGCAAGTTCAGTATGGTGAGTGGCAGCTGTCGACTTGCTATGCGATTTAGCATGGTAGACGCTGTGACAACAAATGTCATTGTCGCTGCTCGTTCGTTTCGACCGAAGCGCAACTGGTGCACGCATCATCGCACTTTCGCAAGACAGCGTGCATGCGGTTTCGCTCCGCATCTGGGATAGGAGCACTGCCGTGCATTCACGAGCCCATGCCCGCACCACTCTTTGACTGATTTCGCCTAGCCGCTTCCGCGCGAGCAGCCTCCACGCGCAGGAAAAACGCGGGCTCCACGGAACAGCTGCGTGCCTTCAGCGCCGTCCTCTGTGCCTGAGCCACCAGCCGAACCGCTTGCCTACCACGCCCCTCTTCATTGGCTTTGTATGCTCGAAGCCGCTCGTTAACACCTGCCATCCGTGTCTGAATTTCAGACTCCGAAGGACAACGACTCGATGCCCGTCCTCACCCCGAAACCTTCACCTTGAGCAACCCAACTCTAACTCTCCCCCCCCCCCCCCCCCCCCCCCTTCCGGCCTCGGTGGCATCACTAGTTCGGCAAATCCGCAGCAAGACGCGTCGTCAGGTCGCCGACTCCTCAAGCGAAAGTCACAAGATGGTCACCACCCTGCACTGGGAGTTCCCTAGCACGGTTTCATCACGACGACCTGCACCTACGTCGATTATGTTTTGTCGCGTGCCACATGTGTCGACCTTCTACACGACAGTGATCGGATCGATCGTCGGACGTGAAACAGAACGCCACTGGCGGAATGCAGCTTTCGCAAGACAGCGTCGACCACTCTAGCCGTGTCTTCATGTCCGGCAACCGCCGAATTAAGCGAATTACAAGTTCCGCAAGGAGACGGAAGCCAGCGGGTCTCTTCTCGACCCACCACACTACTGTGATCTCATCAATTCTCGGACACGAAACAGAACGGCGCATTGCAACCGCACTGACTCCGAATTACGAATTTCTCCCTACCACACGGTGCCTAATGTACAACGTTTAGTCTACGTCTTGAACCAAACGAAGGTGGTTTCCCGGAATCCTTCGCAGATATCGTACTGGTTTGGGACTGCCGCGGTCATCAGATTCGGTGCCAAGACCATGCCACCGAAGACTCATGTAATCTTCTAGGTACGGGCCCTTCCGTCGCGGAAACATCCGTTGCGTTCATTGCTGCAACTAGGTGGCAACACAACCAACTAAAGCACTATGTACCTGTAATCTTGAGAACGCACAAACAGACACCACACACACGCACTTCGAAGATCTACGTATATGCCCAAGCGTGAACACATCTAACTCTCTCTGTCCCGCGAACGTGATTTTGCTCCCACTCTGCATGTAGGCTCGACGCCGCCTGTCCTGGAAGGGTCGCCATCTTTCGCAAGACAATGTCCAACCACGAACCCTTGCGCAGAACAGAAGACGCAACTGGTATCCGGGCAGAGCCGCTGTCTTTCGCAAGACAACGTCCAACAGCGGGCTCCTGGGCGGGACGCCAGGTTGCATACAAGAAATATGCAGTCTGCGGGCGGCTCTGCACACTACCCGTGCGAGCAGAAACCGACACACCTTGTCCTGGCGGGGTCACGATCTTTGGACAGACAGTGGTCCCCATCCCTTAAAACCTTGCGCAGAACACAAGCTGCAGCTGTTATCCCAGCAGGCCCGCGGTCTTTCGCAAGACGACGTCCAACAGCGGCTCCTGCGAGACAACTCTGCATCAAGATGCATCTGCAGGCCGGCTCTTGCCAACCACCCGTCTGCGCTTTGTGCGCGCAGAACTTTCTGCAGCTGGGAGGACGTCGACGCCAACGATGCGCTGGACGTATTGATTTCCATACCAACCAAGATCTCTGATGTACTTTTCGGCATCTCGCATACTCGTCTTGGATTTTTCTTCAAACTGCTGCATTCTCCGAACGAGCGTGTCGTTGTGCTCGTGCAGATAGCCTTCGAAGCAACGTCGGTCCGGCAAACCGACTATGGTCAGATCCGTCAGCTTCCTCGCGCGCGACATCATGACGTAAAGCGCCAAGGCATAGTCGGACTCCTTCATCCAAGATGGTTGTGTCAAAAAGGCCACCAGTCCATGTTCGGCGGTTATCCCTTGCAGCCCGAAGTGCGTGAGGACTTCTCTCGGCGCCAAAGGAATCTAGCGCAGGAATAAAAAAAAACAACAGCAAAGGAATCATGATATGATGTAAGCACAACCCGACGCCTACAAACGCACACTATCCCGTGCCTGCTTGCGCACAACTCTGAATTTCGGGTCCTTGCCAACCTGGACCGCAAACCCATTGATGTCGGCCACCGGCCGCACGAAGTTGTGACCTTTCGAAACGCCCGACGCTGGAGGCAGCTGCAGTTCTTTGTATTCCTTGTCGTCTACTTCCACGAGCACACCCAAAGGCTGGTAGCGCAGCACGACGCAAGCTGCCCCACCGTCGACCGCGGGTTCCGACGGATGCAGCTCGATGCGTCGAACGACGCAAGGCAACTCCCGGGTGAGAAGTGGCTCGGGTAAAATACATGAAATACGAACCTTCATGCCAACGAACAATGGGCACATGCCCATGAGATATCCAGTCTTCGTCATGTTCACGACTTTGAGCGCAGCGCTAGCTTCGTCGGGCGTAAGGTTGCGACCTCCGGTGGGCTTGTCAATCGCCTGCACGAAGTAGAGCTGCTGATGCGCAGCGCGAGCTTCCAAAGTAGACCGTATCTGCTGCAAACGACCAACTTGCTCCCAAGCCAATCCGCCCCAGTATGCAGACAGGAAGTCTTCCACTGACAACTTCTCGGGCTGTAACACTCGCGCTTGCAGCTCCAGCCAGAGGTCGTCAGGCAAGCTGGTGCCCTGCCGCATGTGTCCGAGAATACGAACCAAGGCCTGCCCGGATGCGCAGTCCGAAAACCGCCCGGTCCCCGTGAAGTGGACGACGATGCGTGCAGAGTTCTTGAAGAGCAAACGTCCGAGCTCCGAGTTATTGCTGTCCTGCGACTTCCAAGACATGCAAAACAAGGCAAACGCAACCTAAAGAAGGGTTCCAATTTACAAAGACCCCATTCCTGTGGTTCGGGATCAACTTCTTCTTCGCTCTCAGACTGCGCCGTGTCCACAGCGGACTCTGCTTCCTTCCATTCGCAAAGACTTCTCTTTCCTGCTGGCCGAATTTGCTGGAAGTCCCCCAGCTGTATGCCGACGGGCATGCGTCCGAACCATTCCTCCAGGTAGCGGGTAGTGTCCAAACCCAACGTATCTGCACGCTGTAAAGCAAAACGATAGCCGGCTGCATGATAAACATCCGGCGGTGTCATCGAGAGCTCGTCATAGACCTTACGTTCCAGAGCATGTAATACTTACACCACCAGGAATAATCCGAACGACAACAAAAGACGAATTCTTCACAGGCCAAGCACGGCAGCGACGGCCGTTACGATTCGCCTCTCCAGAGCATCTTCCTTGTTTTTTTGCGCTCGAAGAGACCGACGGTCCAAACAGATACTGGGATTGACGTTAGCCAACTTGTGTAGCGTGCGCGCTTCTCTTCCGAGCAGCCGCACAGCAGCGTGCGTGGGCGCGCCTGCCAGGAACCCATCTGCACCGAAAAAGCGTCGAAAGAGTGGCCGTATAACTTGGGTGTAAGCCCATGTTTTGCCGCTCCCTCCCGCACCCAGCCAGAGACAGTTCACGCAAGCATTACGCTTGCCATCAGCCTTGCAAATGCCGGTGTTCGTTCTGTTTGCCCACATGTCGTCCACGGCATACACAACAGGAGCCACAGCGCGAATCTGCTGATCATTCAGTGTGTGCTCCTGTCGCCAGGTAGAATTATGACTCTCTCTCTCTCTCTCTCTCTCTCTCTCTCTCTCTCTCTCTCTCTCTCTCTCTCTCTCTCTCTCTCTCTCTCTCTCTATATATATATATGTGTACATATATATATTTACATACATACATACATGCATATATATATATATATATGTATACACATACCATCACTGCCCATACTCGGGCTCGCCAGCTCTGCGACGGAGGACCTCTCTAACGCTAAACTCTTCGCTAATGATGCTTCGGAGGCAATTGTCTTCAGCTGCTACCTCAATCAGCTTCAAGGCATACTCCCTGGGACGCAAATCTTGTGCATTCAACTTCGCCAGAAAGGGATCCACTGCCAGCTCCGGCTCCAATGCCTGATCATCTTCCTCCTCATCTTCCATCTCGCCTTCCTCATCTCCCGCGTGACCCGCTGCTTCGCCTGCCACTTCGCCTGCATCGGCTGCTGGCCACGAAACTAAAGAGAAACGTTGGTTTTTGTCGCACCGAACCTCCCGCGACCTTATCCAAATAGCGATGCTGCTGCTCAAAGACCGCTGTGGCATCGGAGTGCCTCCACACTTTGCGTGTACCGGCCGCACTGAAAGCCCGGGCAGAAGCTTTCGCTTCTACGTCTGGCAAGCCGCCGAGGCCTTCAACGACATGCGTCAGGCATTGAAGCGCTTCCTTCGTTTTGTTCTCGCGTCCAGCCATTGCACTCTTCCACTCCTTCTCGCGGAACAGAACTTCGGCCAGATGATCCAAAGAGACACTGTGCTGGGCGCATTCCGCGCGCTCGATGGCATCCTCGTGCTCCAGGTCATCATCTACAGAGGCCCCCTCGATGTCCATAGGCCCAGAACCGTCCTGTCGTCGTCCACACACGACCAACAAACGCACACACACACACACACACCACAATGCAGGACAACCCAACGCACGTCCTCGCCTGCTCCCCTTCCTCATCGGCTTTGGAAA